TATGCAAGGAAAACCAAGATTCAAAAGACAGCCAAGCATCTTAACATTATTCCCCCCTTTTCCCCATTCCAACCATGACTCAATCTCTGTTTCCCAGAGCCCTGTAGTTCCAAGGTTGTGGATACATCATTCTTTATCTCTCTCCCACTTAGCCCATTCAAACCTGCCTAATTGTTCTCCCATCTGCTTTGTTCTTCCATTGTTGTTGTTGTTTTTAATGATTTATTGTGAATTATGTGATAGTTTACATGGGAGAACATTAATTTTACATCCATCCTATCGTATATTGTTTCATTGCCATGGTTACAATCACCTCCATGCATCAACCACCAACCAAAGGATATACCCTGCAAACCTGCCCCGCGGTCGACGGCACATAGCCCCTCTCCCTCTCTGGATCTAAAGTCCCCAGCTGCTCCATCTCTCCACGTCATCATCTCTGCCTCCATCTCAGGCATCACTCCTTCTCTGGGTAGGGTCCTGCTCTCTGCTCTTCTCCCTTGATGGTCTCAGGGACCTCTGCTCCTAGACAGAAAAGTTAATCACTCCCCTCCTTGCTACAAAATGTCTACCTTTACATTTCCAACCCTCACAATCAGTCCTGATAACAGGACTGTTGTATCACAAGAGACCTATCTGCATTTCCTTTCGTCAACCCCGCCTAGACAAATTGGATACTACTCAGTGGAGATTCTACCTTCCTCCCCACCCTCTCGGTCTAGGATCCCTCTTGAAAGTTTGTAAGCCAGTCACTTCTTGCTTTTGTAGCCTCCCCATTTTGGGTAGCCAATGTCCAAGTTGCCCATCCCTGTCTACTCTGTGTATGGAGGGGGTAGGTAGGAATGATCCTTGTTGTAAAGATTTGTTCCCTCTTTTGAGCTACTGCATCCATAGGTGTAGGTCAAGTTCATCAAATTGTATCAGATTACTCTTTTTTTCCTCTTTCTTCTTCTAGTTGAGCTCTGATTATGCAGTCATTGAAGCCAGGTCAAGTGGGTATTATCTGCAAGTGTGGGTGTTCTTGTCCCTTGTTGTTTTATATGTTTATTGGTTACTGAAGTTTCTACATCTGTGAATTACCTATCACAGTGAAACCTGTGGGAGCTGGGACTTGACGGACTGCCTATTTTTTTCAAGTTTCAAATGTGTTCTGCCCTTACAGGGTGCCATCTTAACACTTTTCTATCACTCTCTATTTGTGAAAATATCTTGAGTGTCCCTTCTCTGACAGATTTTTGCCTTACAAGTTCTGACTTTCCCAGATTTTATTGTAATATCATTTCCCATCATCCTAGTTGTTGTTGTCGTCAGGTGCCATCGAGTAGGAACCGACTCATAGCGACCCCATGCACAGCAGAACAAAACAATGTCTGATCCTGGGCCAACCTCACTACCGCTGCCACACTTGACGCCATCGATGCCACCTGGCTGATCCATCTCGTTGGGGGTCTTCCTCTTTTTCTCTGACCCTCCATCTTACCCAGCATGACATCCTTCTCCAGTGACTGTTTCCTCCTGACAATATGTCCAAAGTATGAGAGACGAAGCTTAGCCATCCTGGCCTCCAAGGAGCACTCTGGCTGCACTTCTTCCAAAAGAGATCTATTGGTTCTTTTGGCAGTCCATGGCACTTTTAGTATTCTCCTCCAACACTACAACTCAAAGGCATCAATTCTTCTATGAAAAATGCCTCCTCAAAGTAGAGATCATCCTAGTAGGGTTATCTTTTCTTGAGTTCTTGGAGTCTTTTATAGATATTTTGGAAGAAAGAATCCATTATCATTGGTGGCTGAATGGGTAAGCACTTAGCTGCTAACCAACAACTAGGTGATTTGAACCCACCACTGGCTCCATGAACTCACCAGTGACTTCTTGGGAGAAATGATCTGGTGGTTTGCTCCCATAAAGACTGTTGTTGTTAAGTGCTGTCAAGTTGGTTCCATAAAGCTTAGGAAACCCTACCCTCCTATTCTGTCATATAAGGTTCCTGAGAGTCAGAATTGACTCTACATGTACACCCCAGTTCCTTTCTGTGACTGTTGTTAAGTGCCATCAAACTGGTTTTGACTCATATCAACCCTGTATAGGGTTCCCAAGGAGTGGCTGGTGGATTTGAACCATTGACTGACCTTGCAGTTAGCAGTCCAGTCAGGTACAGATGATACGGACAGCATCTTAATAGGTCGGAGCAGCCTGACCCACTAGGTTGAGAAACAGAAATTTAGGTTTTCTGGACCTAGCCATGGGGAGTCCTGGAGGTGCTGTAGTTACGAGCTTGGCTGCTAACCAAAAGGCCAGCAGTTTGAACCCACCAGGTACTCTATTGGAGAAAGATGTGGCAGTCTGCTTCTGTAAAGATTGGTGGTGGTGGTGGTGGTGGTGATGTGCCGTGGAGTCGGTTCCAACTCACAGCGACCCTGTACAGGGTTTCTGATGCTGTACATCTTTACGGGAGCAGAAAACCTCATCTTTCTTCCATGAAACAGCTGGTAGTTTTGAACTGCTGACCTTGCGGTTCATTGCCCAATTTGTACCCACTACACTACCAGAGTCTTGTAAACTCTATGGGGACAGTTCTATTTTGTAGCATGGAGTCACTATGAGTTGTAATTGACACAGCTGCAATGGATTTTATTTTATTTTTTAATAACAATCAACTCATTAAATTATTATTTTTGACTTAGGATAGGAAAGTTTCCATTTTTATCACTAAAATTTATGAATACTTTCCTTTGTGGTTTATATCTCTTCATCAGACTGTATAAACAGAGCCATCCGGTGTCATGTTTAATAGATTTTACTTGGCCTTAATCCTGAAAACATTGGATATTCTAGTTTAAGAATCCTTTGTGTTTGTTGATAGTCCTTGGTGGGTTCATGGAATCACAGTGGTAGGTTCAAGAGTTATATTGGCTTGGCTTGATTTCAGAAAATA